TATATACGATACGTACTACACGTAGCCAACGAGGAATAATAACGCTTGCGTTCCAATGAACGCGAAGTGCTCAGACACTGCGAAAAGTTCCGCAAAGTTCCATTACGAAGCTAAGATTCGAGCTATAAATCCGAAATTTACTCGAACCGTGTCTCGCATATTTTAGAAACCGAACAACAGACCAGCGGAATTGCGTCGTACATCTCCTCGCGACGCCAAGCTATCGTCCAGCCGCTCGAGTTGTTGAAGAACCGCCGTAAATCTGATATTAGTTAATCGTACTCTCAACGTACAATCATCCCAAGTGATTCAAATGTTCAGCTAGCCGTATTATCGGCACGATGATATAATAATTTTGTAAATTTCATTCTACCCTAAGAGGATTCCTTACGTTCTTCCCAAGTCAATTTATTCTTCCACCAAGTAATGGGAAATTTGAGAGAAAAGTGCTCCACTATCCTTAATTCTTCGACCAAAGGGTAGGGAAAATTACGTCGTTACACCCTAAATGCCATCGTCGTACAGTTTCACGACGGTATAATTTCATTTATCGATAATAACCTGGCCCCATCTTTTCGTACCTCGTACTTGTCAAGACGACGACATTCCGCCCCTTTCGCAAGTTTTTAGCCCCTCTGGGTGGGGCATTCGGAGCTGGTGATTATTAGCTTTCGACCGGAAGAGGGATACGGAGAGATACGGAGATCGAATGAGATCGGCGACAAATGTTTAAATTAAAGGGTGTTGCGCGCGCGCTCGCATCCGCGTGTAAGCGGACGAGCGCCAACATCCACGACGACGGTGGGGGTTGGAAAGAATTTCTATTGAAGCTCCGATAACCCACCCTCTTCGTGAGCCCGGCCAAATGACTTGCGACTCACCCTTATTACAGGCGGAAATTTATCACGGAAATTTCGGAGAGTATTTTACCCGGATAATTGCTCCGCTTTATAAGAACCACCCCTGCGAGCCAATATAGAAGACGAAGACGACGATCCGGCTCGAGCCTCGTGTTCGAGAGCCGACGAAATTTCCCTTCGTCTTTAATTAGTCTTCGCACCACCACGCTGGGAAAAATGAACACGCTTGGATGAACGAGTGATTTCGTCTTCGAGATTATGGAGCTGTTCCTTCTCCCACCACAAATTAAAAGAGAGAATTTTCGAATTTCACACTCCAGGCTTTCGGGAAAACGCGGAGGAAGGGAGATTTTCGACTTCGAGGTCGAGTCGAATCGTTTCGAAAACTCCCGGGAAGAGTACATGTTTCTTTCCGAAAAGCAAATCGACGACCAGTCTCGATATCCGGCGCATAAACGCGCGACATCATCGAGTAATGACGATCAAATGGACTCGGCGTGGGTTCTCGTCGATCAATCTCTCAGTTACGCACCGACTCCTCGATCAT